TGATTTGCTAAAAGAATGAGTCACTGTGTTCTCTTTCCAAGCCTATTTATGTTGCTGCTTTGTCATTTTCCTTCATCTGAAATGAGTAATCAAGACTGAAAAAAAATACACTTTTTTCTTGTTGGTTTATGGGGGAAAAAACATAAGAATCAAAGACTGAACTCACTGGTGTGTTGCACGTCACAGCCAAGGTTTTTGGACAGCAGGGAGTGGAGAATTTTATACTGTGCCTGAGTTTCAACAATTCTGTTAGTCACTCATCTTCTTGAGCACACTCACAAAAAAAGAAAACCGAACACAAAATTTAAACATGAAGGATGTTACATTGAGACAACCTACTGGATTCTAGCAACTTTTATAGCTAAAAAGGAATAAAAGCATCTACAGCAGATCATCTCTCCCTCTCAACTAGAAGAAAATGGAAAAGAATCCTTTAATACTAGATTTTCTGTAAGCAATTTGGGGGAATATCCATTCCAGTAATCTGATGAATGTCAAATACAGACTGTGTCATAGTTGGAAGAGAGCTCATTTTCATTTTCTTAGGGCCAGATTAACTCTTCCCTGGATGAAAACATGATGGCCTCCATCTTAGCCAACATTGGGGATTTAAACTAGGGAGCTGCAGAGCTAAATGAAGTCAGGCTCTTTTTACTGACAACTGTAACAGTCACAGCCTGTGAACTGAGCAGGGGTTGGGGGGAGCTAAAATATACATTGACTTAGAGGGTAAGTAAAGCTTTGAGAGGGGCTCTAAGAGAAGAAATTCTACAACATTTCCCTCAGAGTCCCATTCAGAGGGGGTGGGTTTTTCCCACCCGTGGAGCAAGTCATGGGGTCCGTCTAGAATCCTGCAGATTCTAGAAGATTCTTAGTAGGGTAGAGCCATCTGCACTGGAGGTGCAATGTCAGGCCTCTAACAGTCAGCACTTCCAGGCAGAGAGGGCTCTGCAGAACCTTAGGACGCATTATATGTTCTAGATAACCTTCAAGGGGCATGAAACAAGATATGTCCATTTCCTCCAAGCCCCCATTATTCCCACATGCATCCTCATTCTTATAAAGGTGCTAGTGTGTGGTCAAGAGCAAGCAGGTGGACGGTGGTTGTGGTAGGGAGACATCATAAATGTGACTGGGGAACAATATCCAAACTCATTTAATTGTTGTTAGAAACCTTTATTGCCAAAGCAATAAAAAGTTTAATTTTCTTATTTCTATACTCTGCAGTTTAGTTTCATAATCTTTCACTAGATGTATGACTGCATAGTGAATAGAATACTTTTTTTTCCGTAAAGTCGGTGACCAATTATGAAACCCTACAAAGTCAAAGTGATCATATGACCTTTATGATCAGTTTCTTGATTTGTGAACCCGTTTCTTATGATAAATAGGTGAATCAGCATTCATTTTTCATCTATAATAGCAATGCTGCACTACCCATTATCACAGGCTTCACTATTTCTTTAGTTTTCTCAAGAAGAAAACATTCCATATTAAGGAAAGTAGACACATTTGATTGATAGAAGCCCAAATGCTCTTTCAGGCCTCCCTGGGATGTATTTGCTCTTGATTATTTTTACAAATATAAGGAACACAATGCTTTGTTCTAGTTACTAAGTCTTCTGCAATACAGTATGAATTTGTTTCCTTCATGTTAGTGAGCTATTATTGTTAATGAGCTATTATTGTTAATGAGTTGCTGTAAGTTATCTTTTAAATATTATTTTTATGCTTTTCATCCTTGTCATTAGAAGGCTGCTAACTAATACATTTATTTTAAATGACTATTGGTAGGTCTCTCTGTCAACTCTTTGACGTGTTTAAAGCATTGTCCACAGGGTAGATTTTATTGAAGTTCACATAAGTGTTGTCACACTTGATTTATTTATACATTTTTACTGCAATGTATCTAGATTAAAATATGTGCAAGCACTGACAATATTTGAACTCTCGGTTCTCATTTAGTGATGAGAAAGTAGTGTGATGGATCTGCTAAGCAGAGGACTACAACTCTCATCAGCCCTCACCCAAATTCACACCCCTTTCCTCTGGTCAGGTGAGCAGGAAGCTGAAGAGAAGCTGGAAGCAGAAACAGATGCACAGCCATAGGTAGAACAGGCTGTGACTGCCGGACATTACAGCTGAGTGCAGGCCTGTTTTGGGCTTATGGAGAAGCAGCATCAGCTGGTCAGGAAGCAAGTGCAGAGAAGCCCCAATGAGACACACTAACTGAGCCTGGCCCAGAAACCCAAAAGCTCCTATTTTCTTTGAATATAGACTGCAATGGAGAGGGCCTTCCAGGTCAGCAACTCTGAAGACCCCTGACTCTTGATTGGACTGCCCCAAGGACCCAAACATGTATAACCATCACTCACTTTGAACTGTAACTGTTTCAGCCTCTGTCCTTTGGTATGCAATCATAGAACTAGAAGGGACCTCGAGAGGTCATCTAGTTCAGTTCCCTGCACTCATGGCAGGACTAAGTATTATCTAGACTATGCCTGACAGGAGTTTGGGGATTTTTAAGAACAGGTTGGACAATGATGGAGATTCCACAATCTCACTAGTCAATTTATTCCAGTGCTTAACTACCCTGACAGTTAGGAAGTTTTTCCTCACGTCCAACCTAAACCTCCCTTGCTGCAATTTAAGCCCATTGCTTCTTGTCCTATCCTCAGAGGTCAAGAAGAACAATCTCTCTCCTCCTTGTAACAACCTTTTATATTCTTGAAAACTGTTATGTGCGCCCCCACCCCTACCCAGTCTTCTTTCCTCCAGACTAAACAAATCCATTTTTTTCAATATTCCCTCAGAGGTCATGTTTTCTAGACCGCTAAGCATTTTTGTTGCTCTACTCTGGACTTTCTCCAATTTGTCTGTATCCTTCCTGAAATCTGGCACCCAGAATTGGACACAATACTCCAGTTGAGGCCTAATCAGCAAGGAATAGAGCAGAAGAAATAGTTCTTGCATCTTGCTTACAACACTCCTGCTAATACATCCTAGGATGATCTCTTTTTTGCAACAGTTTAACACTGTTGACCCATATTTAGCTTGTGATCCACCATGACCCCCAGGTCCCTTTCTGCAGTACTCCTTCCTAGGCAGTCACTTCCCATTTTGTATGCATGCAATTTATTGTTCCTTCCTAAGTCTTTCTTAGGCTTTATTGAATTTCATCCTATTTACTTCAGACCATTTCTCCAATTTGTCCAGATCATTTTGAATTTTAATCCTATCCTCCAAAGCTCTTGCAACCCTCCCAGCTTGGTATCATCCGCAAACTTTATAAGTTTATAAAAGTGTACTCTCTATGCCATTATCTAAATCATTAATAAAGATATTGAACAGAACCAGGACCAGAACCGATCTCTGTGGGACCCCTCTTCATATGTCGTTCCAGCTTGACTGTGAGCCACTGATAACTACTCTCTGGGAACAGTTTTCCAACCAGTTTTCTTATAGTAGCTCCATCTAGATTGGATTTCACGACTTTGTTTATGAGAAGGTCATGAGAGACAGTATCAAAAGCCTTATTAAAGTCAAGATATACCACATATACCACTTTCCCCCATCCACAAGACTTGTTACCCTGTCAAAGAAAGCTATTAGGTTGGTTTGATAGGATTTCTTCTCGACAAATCCATGCTGACTGTTACTTATCACATTATCTTATAGGTGTCTGCAAATTGATTGCTTAATTATTTGCTCCATTATCTTTTCATGTACTGACATTAAACTGTCTGGTCTGTAATTTCCCAGGTTGTCCTTATTCCCCTTTTTATAGATGGACACTATATTTGCCCTTTTTCAGTCCTCTGGAACCTCTCCCACCTTTCATGACTTTATGAAGATAATCATTTATGGCTCCCTTGAAGGTATCTAACTTGTCTAAGTAACTTTGTTTGTTCTTTCACTATTTTAGCATCTGATCCTATCTCATTTTCCCTGGCATTCACTATGTTAGACATCCAATCACTGCTAACCTTTTTCATGGGGGGGGGGGGGGGTAATCGATATAGCACATCTGCCATTTTCACATTTTCTGTTACTGTTTCTCTTTCCCCCCCCCCCCACCTCATTGAGTAACAGACATACCTTGTGCTTGGTCTTCCTCTTGCTTCTAATGTATTTATAGAATGTTTTCTTGTTACTCTTTATGTCTCTAGCTAATTTATTCTCATTTTGCCCCTACATACTTGTGTTATTTGTTTATATTCATCCTTCATATATTTCCTTTTCCTACCAGCCCTAGTAAAATAACTCTTCTCTTAGCCATGTGTATGAGTGGTTATTAGAACCCACCAGGGTTAGTCACTACAAGACCTAGCTGCTGAAGCACCTATAGTGCTTGCTTCAAAGTTGTGGTACACCTGGTATAGTACTGACAACCTAGGGGTTTGCTGTACTCTGGTAGTGAGCAGCAGTAATAATTGCATTGGAATTAATCAGGTTACTAGGGAGAACCATTTCTCCATTTTATTTATTTTATATATATGAAAGCTATATCATCTACTTGGCATTAAAAATTCACATTACATTTCAAGGGAAGAACTTCATTATGCCTTGGCTTCAAGTATTTTCTAGGAGAATCCTTAAATTACATAGACAAGCAGTTTGTCACCATGGACAAAGTGACATTTTATCCAGAAGTGTCTGAACAGCATGCGATTTCTGCCTTCTGTTAAGATTAAAGCTACAAGCCTCTTCTTTCATCTGGGTTTATACACCATTGGATAGGGTGATGATCCTCAACACCCATTAATTATTCACCGGGAGAGGAAAAAACCACAGGAGTCTGCAAACAGATTATTACAAAGCTAGGCTTATTCATCTGCACACAAACTGTTACCTGAATTCATTGTCCAAGCCCCTGAGCATGACTCAGTGAGAATTTGAATATATTAATTGCTGAAAAGTTCCCATAATACCTTGAACTCTGTTACATGCAAATTAAAAGCAACAATAGATCCCACTAATATTGCATCCTGAAAACTTACTTGTAAACAGTACCCAGATGAGTGTTGAATAGGCCCAGAAGAAAACACATAGAAATAGTGCAAAGGCAGAATGGACTTTGAAAGAGGATTTGAGCTGGATTAACTAACAGATATATTAAACATTACCCACAGGAGTTGGCCTCCTCATTGTGCATCAAAATATAAATACTAGAATGTAGACTACCACATATTGAGATTGAGGAACTTCTACAGAGAAACTTGCATAATTAATGAAAAACAAACAGGCATAAGAAAGATTTATAAAAGAACACAAGCAAGCTTATGCAAAATTTCTGTCACATCTTATTCATAACAAAGACTGGGTATACACATAACCCCAGATGCCAGCTACTTCATGTAGTTCTACATTTGGAGAGAAAGTATCCTTATTCTCTTCATAAGAGGCCAGATTCACCACCTTCTTGCTCCTTGTCTAGTTATTTATGTTCAAAATATGTGTAACACATACAAACAAAATCAATATGGTAGCATGTTACACACCTTTGAAGTCTCCGTTACTACACAGAATGCGAAACAGTAGAGAATCAGGCCAAAGGGCATGACCGACTTCCACAAAAATGGATGGCAACAGAGCACATGCATCCAAAAGGTAGAATTTTGGCTCAGGTTAAGTAATTCTAAGTAGGCTGATCCTGTTTCCACTGAAGTCAATATGACTTTTGCCATTCACTTCAGTGGAAACAGGATCAGCCTGTATGTGACCTGTGAACTGCAGATGCCAGACACAATCATTTTATTGCAAAAGTCATATTCTTGTGTGGGGCTGAGAGGGTAAAGGAAAAGAAATGAGAGAGAAGAAATTATTTCTTTCGTATAGAATGCTTTCTGATGAGACCTCTTATTTTTACTGCACACTTTGTTTAGGCCCTTTTTCACAGTTACTATCCTCCAAGACAAATTCCCTCGGGAGATCCAGACTCATCAATGCTGCTACTGTATTTAACTTAACACTAGTTAATAGTAATAAAAATACAATAATTTGCATAGGTGTAAAATTATTATACACTGGAGAACCTATTTACCTGTATTTTAGGTGTGTGTGTGTGTGTGTGTGTGTGTATGGCCCTATAGTTTCTAAGTGCCTCACAGTCTTTTAGTGTATATATCCTCACAAGACCCCTTGGAGGACAGGAAGTGCTATTACCCCCAATTTAGAAATAGGGAACTGAGGCAGACAGACAGACAAAGGCCTAGTCTACACTGGGGGTGGGGAGAGTGCGAGCTAAGTCGGTCTAAGTTATGCAACTTCAGCTACGAAAATAGCGTAGCTGAAGTCAACGTACTTTGAGCTATTTACCGCCTGTCAACTCTGCCTATACTTCTTGCTCCAGTGGAGTTCAGGAGTCAATGGGAGAGCGCTCGGTGGTCGATTTTTCGCGTCTTCACTAGACGCGATAAATCAACCCCTGGTGGATCAATCACTCTGGAGGTAAGTGTAGACATGCCCAGAGTGACAGGTTGAAGGTCAGAGGAAATCTGTGGGGAACAGGGAATTGAAGTCCCAGGAAAGCACCCTAACCACTCATCCATCCTTCTTCTCATTCTGACCCCGATGAGGAAAACAAGAGTTTTGTCCTTCTGCAGGAAGGGAAGATGGGATAGTTCCTATCGCATTCTTACCTCATGTGGCCATGAAAGGATAGGACACAACTACACCCTTAATTATTATTTGTTCTACACCCAAAGATGTACACAAGGCACCTAACAGAACAGAAAGCTAGAAAGATTTGTGGCCAACTGAATCTAGGCCAAGATTTTTAAGGAGACTAGAGATTGTGGATGCTCAATTTGGGAAAGGCTAAAGGACCCAATTACAGGAAGTCGGGTTCTCAGAACTTTCCAGCTTATCTAGTTATTCTCCTAACAATTGAGGTGACCTATATCACTATTACTTTTGAAAATTTGGTCCTAAAGTTAAGAGAAGACATAAGAGCTAGAGTGACTGATGGAGAAGTGGGCATGAGATGCAGTTGGCCACGGGTACAGTTTTGTGGCTGTGTGTTAATGAACAAGGGTTTGGATTTTCCTTTTAAGTTTTAGTTTAATATATTAATAAGTTAATTACTCGTAAGCTTTGTTTAAAAAGTGAGACTTTACTTGTTCCATGCACTCAACTGTCATACACATAACAGATCTCTGTGTGTGGAATACCTGTGAAATACCCATCGAAGTCTGGTACAACAAAATAGAAGATGTACAGTGCAGTTTGGAGGGGATAATTTTGCTTTTAATAAAATAAGTCCACCTGAACATAAGCAGGAAATAATATTCATGGGAGAATTATACAACATAACCAGGCCTTCAACATCATGACTGCTTCCTCTCTAATTTTTTTTAATATACCTTTTGTTTTGGATTTTTTATGATAGATAGAAATAAAAAAAAATATTCTCATGCAAAACTTCTAACCCCACATTCTGTAATGTGACCCATTAATAGCTTGTCAAATTGAATCCCTTATATGCATTCATAGCATATGCCTTCAGAACAATTATGGTATAGAATATGCATGAATAGCATGTATTCCATAAATATGGATTCAAATTAGAGCATTCATTTAGCTAAGTTTTGTTTATTCTTAACATGCATTCACAGCATATTGTACAGCATAGCAGCTCCTTTGAATCTTTTAGAGAGTATGCTGTGAATTAATATTAACAAAAGTATAATCTGCAAATTATGGATCTACATTACATATGTATTTGTGATGGACCAGAATATCAATCTTGTAGTAAAAGTCTTTATGAAAAGTAGTTACTGAGGGAGCTGCATTTTAAACCCCAATATGTTAACAAATTTATTTTTATTTTGCAAGCAAATACCTACAGAGGACCAGTTCACATTATGGATTAGGGGGCTGAAATGCTACAGTTTAATTGCAGTCATTCTATGTTCACAGTGAATTTTTTTTAATAAATTCTAAATACTGTTAAAGACTCCAATACCATTAAAGAATGCACATGTACATTAAAATTTAAATTTTAAATTTTAATTGTGCATTTTATAACAAAACACTTACAAAAAACCACAGAAACTTTCAATTTATCTGCCTAGACCTGATAGGCACATTCGGTTTCCTCATGCCATTATTGATATCTAAAACAAACAAAAAATCTCTTTTCACTGCTTTTAGTGTCAATGATAACATCTGTTTCAAGAGAAGAAAACCTGAAGTTTAAAAATAGAGGGCCAGATCCTTATAGACTCAGACTTTAACGACAGAAGGTACCATCATGATCATCTAATCTAATCTAACCCCCTGCACATTGCAGACCACAGAACCTCACTCACTCATTCCTGCAATAGATCCACAACCTCTGGCTGAGTTACTGAAGTCCTCAAATCTTGATTGAAAGATTAAGTTACAGAGAATCCACCATTTACTTTAGTTCAAACCAGGAAGTGACCCGTGCCCCATGCTGCAGAGGAAAGTGAAACCCCCCAGGGTCTCACATGGGAGAAAATTCCTTCCTAACTCCAAATATGGCGAATGGCAGTAAGTTAGACCCTTACAATGTGGGCAAGACCAACCAGCTAAAGAATCTGTGAAAGAATTCTCTTTAGTAACTCAGTGATCCCCATCTAGTGCCCCATCTCTGGCTGGTGGAGATATTTGCTAATAGAAGATGTGGATAGGCCTTATCCCAATCTCTTCATACTATCCACTCCACAAAACGTATCAAGCTCTGTCTTGAAACAAGTTAGGCTTTTTGCTCCCACTGCTCCCCTTGGAAGGTTATTCCAGAACTTCACTCCTCTGATGGTTAGAAACCGTTGTCTAATTTCAAGTCTAAACTGGTTGATGGTCACTTTGTATCCATTTGTGCTTGTGCCAACATTAGCCCCTAACTTAAATAACCCCTCGGTATCTCCCCTCATCCTTTGTTTTGTTTGGCTAAACAAGCCAAACTCGTTAAGTCTCCTCTCGTAAAGCAGGTTAACCATTCTCCTGATAATCCTTATAGCCCTTCTCTGCAGCTGTTCCAGTTTGAATTCATCCTTCACGAGTGTGGTCAGATGTTTGGCTGCGTGTTCCCTCTGTGTGCTGCCCCAGCCCTGCACAGACTGCCAGCATGGCAGACCTCGAGTGATCTGTTAGCATATGAGTGCACCCATCCAGGTTTATTGTTGACGAAGCATGGTACTCGTATCCCACAGACTCTACCAGACCACTAATACATGTGTGCCCATAACAATGGACCAGCTCAGTGAATGGTGGGACTTTCCATTCCCCCACAGGCTAGACAGACATTCCCTCTGAGATACATCTTTATACACAGATGCAAACAAGTTACGTATTGCCCCTCTAATATAGTTAGTTGACACCCTCTGATGTTACCACCCATCACTTTGTACATATCTATCCATCACTCTGACATCCTGACCTTATCTTTAGGAGGTGTCTGTGTGTTCCTGTTATCTTTGGGGAATGTGTTTGTACCATTCTTGGTATGGGGTGTTCTGGTGCCACCCTTCTGGAATATGTTTGTGAGTGTTTTGTGCTTAGCACTTCTTAGTAATGTGTGTTTCTGCAATATTAGCCCTGTTCTTGCCAGATTCTGTGAGCAGGGCCTGCCTCTAGCTCACGGCCTGATTTTGCTTTATATCTGCAAAGTTTTGACCGTTACTTTAGCCCAGGCCTCGGGCCTCATACCAGGCCTCTAATACAAGGGCTTATGTCTCAGGTTCTCTTTCTACTACAGTTAGTATAAAATCAGCACAGCTACATTAACTTATCTATAACAATTTTCATTATCTGAGGAAATGGCCCATCAAGTAAAAACACATATAATGGGATATCAAAATGTGAGCAATACATGCTCACGTTATAGTGTTGTAGGGACACACAAAACAAGGGGGTCAGCAACAGACATGGTTTATGTTATAGAAATCTGTCAGTGTGGCAGGAAGTAGGTGCTCATCCAAAATCAGCAATGCTGAACAATTGGCACTGTTCAGAATTAGGACTGCAGTGATGGGCAAGCCTGAAATGTTTTGGATGATTAGCTAAACGTTCTTCAATGCTTCCTCTTTATACAATATTCCTGC